AGTGAAACTTTTTTTATGTAACACATTTTTTCAATCCTAAGGATAGGTTTTTTCTTTTTGGTCCATTTTTGGAATTATATTTTGATTCGACTGTTTTATCCCGCCGACGATTTCGGTCACACTGAAGTCATAAGTTTAGCTTAGATTTTTTGGATTTGTATAACCCAAGGGTCTAAACTCTCAAGCAATCCTCCTTTGATTTATAGTGTGGCAAATTCACAATTTCAAACAAAGTGGATGATCTTTTGAAGAACAATGCCATTATGCCCTCTCAACTAGCCAAACACATGAGATATTGTAAATTCTGGTTGATTTCTTGCATATTTTAATAAACCAAAAGTTGCCTATAATCAGCATTTATGCTAAATCCGATATTCACTGATATAAGAAATAATAGAAATCTTTTAGTTTATTATATATTAGCAAACAAATTGGCACAATGAAGCAGAATTGCAGACACCTCTAAGATGCTCCAGTCCTATTACAAGTTCTATTATAGAGTTATTGGTGTAGTAAAATTAATTAAACCTTACAGAATTATAGAGCCACAAGTCGTAAAATAATATGCTTCAGCGCAGACTTCGTTCTTTTAGCTTTGACTTTTTAAGGCAATGTTTTGTAACATTGTCAGCAATAAAGCTATTCGAATCATTTACTAAGGTTTTGTCATAGTTGGTTGAAAGAAAGATATTTTGTAATTTGACTTCACATCCCATATCTATCCAGCAAGATACAGAGAAAATACGTTTGGATAATCTTGCTAATAGCCCAGAACGCTTGGTGTTTTATTGTTAGTATTAGTTAATTGGTTCATTGCTCCTTATAGGCATAAGAAGAACCCATTTGTTGTTGAAAATGTCTGAAATATTTCACTTGGTTGGTAGTTTCATAGAGACGCAGCTTAATCTCTTTGCCATGATCATGATTGGGCTTCTAAGGTCAACTTGAACATGTCATTCAGAAGTATAATTTTATCAATTTAATTAATAGCTTTTAGATAAAATTCGGGTTTACAATATGAGTGGGATCTCAACATCTTCTTGACTGTCAACTTTCTGCATTTACCAGTTGCTTCAAGAGAAAGCCAAGCAGGCGGCCAACGAGGCAGCCATAAAGAAGTCGGAGCTTCTGGCTGCCTCTGGACGCAAGCCTTCGACCAAATCGCCGACGGGCCGTCCGACACTTGCTCCTCCATCGCCGTCTGCAACCGCTGAAATAGGCAGAAAAAAATCAGCTGGTGGCTCGAACACGCTTGGAAAGACACGCCCGGGCTCGACGAGAGGACATAATGAACATAAACTAGACAACGCTAATGCAGACCAGACGGCAGAAGAAGCGGACTCGCTCGAGCGCCTAAGTCCTAGTCAGGAAACGTTTTGGCCGGTAAGTACATTAGGGCACTTTAAAATGGCCTTATTAGCAGCATATTAAAAAGATATTCGTAATTTAAGCAGAATTCTTTTAGGCACATCAGAAATTAAAGCTGCATAAACTGATTTCTGTATCACATTTACGAATATTTACTTAGGTAAATTCGATTTAGTTAAACAATCTACCTATGCAATGTCGTGAGCACGAAATGTGGTTCAATGTAAAAGAATTGTGAAAAAAGGGCCCCTTAAATGCCAGATGCATGAAGAGACAGCCTTGAGAGAGGAAGGATATACTGTAGACTCATTACTTTTTATATTAACCTCGATTGTTCCGGAATCTATCCATGAGTCCACATCAGAATGTAAAAGATATTCAAGAGCAATCTTTCAATTTCTCCAAAATCTGAAATTCTGAACTAAATGGACAACGCTCAATGCTATCTAACCTCAAAATCCGTCTATGGCATTGTTTGTGATAAGAATATATTAACTGCAGATACGCTTCAGCTACTCAAGACATATCACTTCTAAGAGAAGCCGCAATTACTTTTAAATCAAAATATCATATCAAAGTGCAGATACGCCGCTAAAGGCCATTTAGATTAAAAAAAGATATATAGTAATTTTTTACCGCTAAATAATTTTGCAAATCAGGCAGTTCTCACTTTTTTTTGACTAGAGTTGAGAAAAACGTTTACGAGATAACCAAATAAATTTTCAATTCAGTATTTATTTAGGAATTATTTTCCTGTGGCAAATGTAGAATCACTATTTGTTATATTAACGTCGATTTTTCCGGAATCTATCCATGAGTCCACATCAGAATGTAAAAGATATTCAAGAGCAATCCTTCTATTTCTCCATAATCTGATATTCTGAGCCAAAAGGACAACGCTCAATGCTAAATAACCTCAAAATCCGTCTATAGCATTGTTTGTGGTAAGAATATATTTACTGTAGGTAGGCCTCAGATACTGAAAGCATACCCCTTCTTTTAGAAGCCGCAATTAGTTTTAAATTGGGATATCATCTAAAAGTGCAGATACGTCGTGTAATTATTTTCAGAAACAGAAATTATATTCAGAATAGTACTATTTAAACATTCTATATCATCAATTAACTAGCTTGTACCCCAAGACTTGCCAATAACTCGAAGGATTCTTATTCTTCATTATAAGACCTCTATCTTCTGCATTATATCAAATTTTTTTCACAGATTTAATGTTTACTTAAAGTTGAAGCTGCCAAGCTGATAAAATTTAGTGGCACCAATTTCGAAGATTATTTTATCTGTGCCGAATATAGCGAAACTGGTATTTCCATTCTCAAAGTGAATAGCTAAAATACAGCCTAGCAAGGCCATTATAAAATGTTAATTCTGCATATTTACTATAATGTTATCATAAGGCCCTAGCTAAATACTTTTTCTTTATTGTTATAATATTGATGTAATCGGTATTGTTATTCTATAGCATTTCTTATATACTAATCCATAATTTTATTTTCAGTATAAGCACTATATAAGGAGACAGTGAAGAATAATCCATGTGAATTCATGATTGGGTTTATTTTAAAAAATAAGCTTTATTGATACAGATATTTTGAGGTAATAAAAACGCCTTACCATTTTGAATAATTTATAAGTTGATGAAATATAATTTTCAGATCATGTACTCAATCATATAATGGAGCGAAATTAATTATCCATTCTAGCCAGACAGAAACTGTGCACTTAGACATTTTTTAAACTATTTTCAGACGAGATAAGCATTAATTCGA